ACTACTGATACCTGTAGGCGACGTGATCACTACAGTTTCGTTTCGCGTTTATTATTTCACTTGCTGAATGATTCAAAAATTAATACTGTTATTGTTTTACAGAAAAATATTCATTGGAGGGCTCAATGAAGAAACTACTGAAAGTAAGCAAACACCTGCATTTTGGTAATTACCAAAAATCATAATCAAAACGGTTTTGTGTATTATAGATGATCTAAGAGAGCACTTTAGTAAGTTTGGTGGAATCAAATATATTTATTTCAAGGTAGATGCTGCCACTGGTCATAGCAGAGGGTATGCATTTGTTGTGTTCAAGACAATAGAAGGCCTAGACAATGTTAGTATACCGTTTGGCTTAATTAATTTAATTTTTAAATTTTAATAAATATTTTGGGATTGATATTTGTAATATTTTTGGGTTGTAAGTTATAATAGATGGTATGATTTATTAAGGGGTTGTGTAGGTTATTTTATGTTCAGCATGTGATAAAAAAATATTGTTGATGTTTGAAGTATTCATTAAGTTGCGCTAGTATTAAATTTGTTACTTTCTTATGCGTGACCAAAATATTTTTAAAATTCACTCACTTATAATATTGCATATTTATGTAGACGTATAGTGAAAATGGAATGTGACGAAGTTTCAAAAAACAGATTCATCATGTAAAAAGTTAGTTAAACATTCAAATAAAATCCTATCCACAAAAATTAATAATAAGAAAAGGATTATTTATTGCAAAAAATGGAAATAATTATAATCTTGTTACATTTTCATGATAATTTTTTATCAATAATTATAGAAGTTGCCTATGTAGTTTTTGCCAATTTACTTACGATTATGTTTTCATGTTATTCATTTATTTTTCCTCTCATTTAGTTAATTCAACTTTCTTAAACATAATATACTTACAAAAACTTGAAATACATTCATATGCTAACAATTGTTTATTATCAAACTGTATGACTGAACGAATGATCAATACAATTCTCCAATATTAGTTATTTAACTATTAATCAATAAAAGACAAATTATAAATTCATACAATTTTATAAAACTATATGAATTTCAATATTTTCTATTATTTTTAATGGTAAAACCCCAAATATTCAATATAATTTAATGATTATTGATTAGGTATATAAGCGATATTCTAGTTTTATCTTCTGGTAAAATAGTTATGGTCAAGGTAAATAATTATCTCATTGTTCCACTAAAAATTAGGTATTCATGATGTGTGTAATTAAAATGTTGAACATTATTTTTATCTAAGTAATTTTTTTTATTTTAAAAAAGGCATTGGCGTATACTAATCATGTGATCAATGATAAAAAAATTGACCCTCAAAGAGCTCTTCCTCGGCATGCAAAATTATTTGTTGGAGGATTGTCTCCTGATTTAACTGAGAATGACATCAAAAATTATTTCAAACGTTATGCAACTCTAGTAAAAGTTGAGATGCCATATGATAAAATTAAAAACAGACGAAAAGGTTTTTGCTTTCTTACATTTGATAGTATGCAGGCAGTGACTGAAATATTAAAACTGCAAAGACATGTAATTAAAGGAAAACAAGTAATAAATTAACCTATATAATTATTCAGACTATTTTAATCCTTATAAATATTTATTAGGTTGATGTAAAACTACCAATAGCAAAAGTAAAGCATTATAGAATGATTCCTGATGCCACAGGACCTATGAGAGATGTGCAAGATAATGTTATGGATCAAAGAGGTATTTATATATCATTATTTATTACTT